AATAAATAAAACATGCCATAAGTAGTTCCCATGTGTTAATTTCCATTGTCTGTTAACAGTATAGTTTGTCAGGCCTTATCTATCTAAGAATCAACCTTGGGATAGGACAGAATATTAGGAAGTGTTGATGCCTAATTACCAAGATTACCTAGATGATGGAGACCAACCTTGAAGGTCCTGCTTTAATATAAAAAAGCTGTGATTTGCCATCATCTATGGAATTTTAACTATTTCACTGTTTGCATTATTTTCAACAGAAGATCTTAGACAATGGACAAATTAAAAAGAAATGGTGTTAATTATGACAAAAAGCTCAAATGTGGTTAGATGAAATCCACATGTGACTTAAAAGTCACATCAGGAGCAAGGATAATCAGCTCCAGGAAAATGCTATAATGTAGGTAGATGTTTGCAAGCCTTTATTTTGCAGCTGCCTCCCTTCTCTGCTTCTGGTGGCAATTAGAATATCCAGGTAAGGAAGTATATGAAGAGCTTTTTCTCCAGCTAACCAGACCCTAAGCTAATAAGGACATTAATGCTGAAACCAGAACTTTGGATTTATTTATTTACTTACTATATCTGTTAACCATTCTAATCTTATGACTCTGTGGGATATACAGCAAAGTAAAACAAACCAAAGATGAGACAAATAATCAAATAATCAAATAAAAATACAATGAATATAAATGTGTATAGAGGAATATCTGTATACCAATAAACTGTAGCTTGCTGAAAAAGATAAGTTTTCACAATTCTCCTGAGCACAAGAAAGGAGGGTGCCATCTGAATCTCCAGGATAGTAAATATTCCCATAATATGGGGGCAGCCACTGAGAAGGCTGCCTTGTCCAAGTCCCCTAAACCTCACCAGGAGGGACTCTCAGCAGGTCTTCTTGAGGTACTCAAACTGGATGAGTGAAGTTAAGCTGATGGCTGATGTAGTCCATGCTATGTCATACAGAACTGTACAGTGGTACCTCGGGATACGAACTTAATCCGTTCCGTGACTCTGGGCGTATCCCG